CATTAGCCTGATGTACGTCAGACCCACACTATGAGGTTGGGAGAGCCTGATAAACACTTCATCCCACAGCCCAAACTGACCATTAAAGGACCATTGTGGACTGAAGCATCTTGAATATTCAGATTGTGAGAGATCAATGCTCTGGTTCCCTAGTGGCAGGGGAGTCCATAGTGAGCCCTTAGTACCTCTGGCTGATATTATGGGCACTAGATTCATAAACAACAATGCAACTCCATCTTAAAATACTGAGTCACACAATTTGTCCAGCCTCTTGGGTATGTCAATACATCAACCAACTGACTCATGCATGCCGTTTGCATTGGTGAATGCAAAGGCAACACTGTGGGTTGCACTGCTCCCAATGTGCTATCAGTTTTCATCTTGGAGACCCACCACTTCATCTGGCAATTTACACAGGCAGCTAACCTTTCTGAAGGACTGCCAGCTAATTTGTCCAAGTGCTGCTTTGTCTGCTAAAACATGTTTTTGTCTAGAATGCCACCCAGCCCCATTCCAGTAAGGGATTTTGTGAGATACACAGCCAAAAATGTTTATTGGATCGAAAGTTCTTGTATTAGGAAACATTTCATTCTCCAAAAGTACCAGTAAAACCACAGTTTAAAGAGGGGAAAGGATTATGTGCCCATTGTTCTCATTCCTGTCCTCCCAACATTCACAGACCATAGTGATACCTCTTTGTCACCTAAAGAGTCTGCAAGTAAGTAACACCCTACACATCTCTTCCTCTCAACTTGCAGAGTAGTTTAAAGCACTGGTTCTTAACTTTGGGTTATTCAGGAGTTTTGGACTGCAACTCCCAGAAGCCTTCACCACCAACTGTACTGGCTGGGGTTTCTGGGAGTTGCAGTTCAAAAACATCTGAGTAACAATGGTTAAGAACCATTGGTTTAAAGAGCCACTTAATGGCACCTTAATTTACCCTTTTCTTCTCTAAATTAAGTCCAACAGGACAGATATTAAAAGGCTGTATTTAAAGCAATCTTCAGCCTGACATCTCCAGAGTTCTCTCCTTGCTTGTTCCCCAAAGACATAAGATTCTTGTTCTAAGAAGTTTATCTTCTTTTTGTAAGAGAAAGTTCAGGGGATCATTGCTTAACCATTAAAAAGTTACGCTCTCCCTCGAAGTGACAGATAAGGTCCTCCCACACCCTTCACGTGGCTTTCTAGAGCAACGGTTAACTCTTCTCATCATTCTCAGGCAAGAGGCCTCCTTCCGCAACCATGCAAATGACAACAGTTTCTTTCCACTCTGAATCAATAATGCATCTGTCTTGAATGCAAGCTTTGGCAGGTGGAGAAGAGACAAATGTAGCGTGCACTGATGGATTCCTTTTATGAAACTGTTCAGGGTAGGCAAATGTAAACCAAAGTGGGGCATTCTCACAGAGCTTGCCGGACTCCTGGATAGCTCAGGGAGTTAGCATCTGCCTGCAGACCCAGAAGTTGGGAGTTCAATTCCCCACTGTGCCTCTTTGACACTTGATGATCCATAAGGTTCCTTCCAGCTCTGCAATTCTAAGAGGATTATGATGATTTAGACTACAATTCCCATCATCCTTCAGCCAACATGGTCAACCCAAAAAAAGAGAGAGCTTTTCAAATTCTACAGCCAACATGAGGCCTGCTTCTCACCACTATTTTGCAAGCTCTTCTCCTTTGACATGCATGTAAAACTTGACAGTGCATAGTAATGTATAAGCTAGAAGAGAAGAGGGACAGCTTAGAGCAATTTCTGCAATCTTTTTAAAGCTGTCAGAATCACAAAAATGATACTGGAGCATGCATTTTGCTGGCAAAAGAGTCCAGGTTAAAACCCTGGCATATGTAATTTAAAAGAAACTGGGTAGCAGACAAGAAGAAAACTGCAATCTTGGTGAACTGCAGCTGTTTAGAGAAGGCAATACAGTATCAGACTGGCAGCATGCCTCAGGAAGGCAACTTCCTAAGTGACAATTTATATGACCCTTTTTTTCTGGTGACATCACACCCGCAGAGATTATTTGGGGCAGATAAAAACAGCAGATTAACACAACCAAATGCACCCCCTCTTAAATTACATTTCCTTCAGTTACGGAGGGGAATCTAGGACCATAATTCAATGATGTATTTCCACTAGATCCTTCTGCTTCCACCTCAGCTGATGATCCCCCTCTCTGTAAAGCCAGAAATCCTGCTCCAGAGGCATGGGAAATTCTTTAGAGCAGTGGTCCCCGACCTTGGGCCTGGCCTCCAGATTGGACTTCAACTCCCAGAAATACTGGCCAGCAGAGGTGGTGGTGAAGGCTTCTGGGAGTTGTAGTCTGAATCACTAAACACTTGTTTGGCTGTCTGCTGAAACAGCACCTCATGTCCATCTCTAGTACAATCATAAGACACATATAGAATGCAGGTGTGGAATGCTGGGCAATTATACACACCACATAGTACATACACCCTTTCTCAAACATCTTGCACTTCTGATTCAGTGCTATAGTACACAGGTATGAATGCTGGAAATGAGTTGCCTCTTCTCCAGAGGAACCATACAAACTAGTGCTACTGGAGCATGCTGCACATCTGGACTAGAGAAAATATTCAAAAAGTGAGCCACCTTTTTCATGCAAACTAAGACAAGCATAATGAATTTGCTGCAGAATTTGTTCCTGTTATTTTGAGTTCTTGGTAAGGTAAAGGTTCCCCTTGACATTTAGTCCAGTCGTGTCCGACTCTAGGGTGCGGGGCTCTTCCCCGTTTCCAAGCTATAGAGCCAGCATTTGTCCGAAGACAGTTTCTGTGGTCACATGGCCAATGCAACCAGACACAGAACGCCACCTTCCCACTGTTGTGGTACCTATTTATCTACTTACATGCTTTCAAACTGCTAAGTTGGCAGGAGCTGGGACAAGTGACAGGAGCTCACTCTGTTGTGTGGATTCAATCTTACGACTGCAGGTCTTCTGACCTTGCAGTAAAGAGGCTTCTGCGGTTTAACCCGCAGCGCCACTCCATGTCCCCTTGGAGTTCTTGGTACCTAACAGCTATTCAGCTCTGAAAGCCCCTAATTAATCAGTCACAAGGAAATGGCAGCTAACTTCTTTCTGGTAATGTTCACTGCTGACTAATCTGGAAATATGCAACTAGGGTTTTGTAATACATTTGCTAATTTGTTCTCAGGCCACAAGTGCAGTTTGTGACTTTTCACTCTATAATAAAATATAATCTGTACCGCATATAAAAGGCATCTGGAAATAACTGTTCTTTGGAGGTCTTCCAAAAAAATGGCAAGTTGTTAACAATCCAAATACTATATCTACAACACTTGTGACTTGCCGAGCATGATATTTCAGAATGCCGTCTTGAGTTCCCTTATTGGGAGGAAGGTGACCTATAAATAAGACCAATAAATAAGCACCCATTTTATATCTACTTAGCTGAAAGAACAGGCCAGGGATGGGGAGATGACCTTTCTATCTGAAACACTTTACAGTACATGAGAGTTCACCATTTCTGACCCACACACTGAATATCATTGGTAGACTAGTACATTGTGGTTTGTTACCTGCTCCCCATCCTCCCCCCTACTCTTCTAACACAACCACTGTTTCCCTGTATAGTGGAAAGTATAACGCCAGATGCAAAGTTAAGCACCAGCTGTATGCACCATAATACAGGACTTTAGCATTATGGAGTTGACCAAGCAAATGGTATGAAATTGAACCTCTGAATCACTTCCTCCTCCTCCTCCTCCTCCTCCTCTTCTTCTTCTTTCTTCTTCTTTCTTCTTCTTTCTTCTTCTTCTTCTTCTTCTTCTTCTCTCTCTCTCTCTCTCTTTTTTTTAAAGGAAACAATGTGACAGCAGATCACGTGGAAGATCTGTGCCGAAGGCCCTGGAGAGCTGCTTCCAAGAATTGACAATCCTAGGCTACATGGACAACCAATCTGGTCTAGCAAATTCCTCTATTATTTCTTCCAAGTACCAGTTCAGGAAACCTTTATGCAGATCTCCCCATTAGCTTGATTCCAAAGAACCATAATGAGATTACAGTGATCAGGCCTCAAAATGTGACAGGATCATGTATACGGCTTCAGATTCTCCAAAAGCATTGCAATGATCTGGAGTACTCCAAAGCTGGCACAGGATCCTGTGGCAATGGAGTTAGCCTAATAAAGGAACTACAGTACTCTTATATGGATTTTAGAATTTTTCAGGGTTTCAACAGAGGCACCTTTGCTTTTTCTTTTTTTTGGGGGGGGGAATGTCTTCTAGTTGAGTGTGTTTCTATGCCATTGGGGCAGCCTTTTAAAAAATACCGCTTTACAATACTAATACTGGCAACTTTTTTTACACAGCTTTTTAAAATGCAGTGTCGGTTCTTCTCCCATATTGTGAAAGAGCTGCTGCGGTGGCTCCTGCTAGCTTTTGCAAATTCTGTGGCAGGATGTTTTGCAAGCCTGGCAAAACCACTCACAAAGAAGTGAGCGTACCAAAAAAATCTTTTCAGAGCGGCAAAAGGAGAGGATTGTTTTTCTCTCTCCATACATTGCCGCCTACACCACTTTCTAGTCAGATTCTTGGAGGAAGATTATAAAATATATTTATAAAGCAAGAGATACCGAAACCCAAACTATCCGCAAGCCGAGTTCATGAAAAGTGGGTTGCCAGCAAGCAGAAGCTGTGTAAACATATAGCATGCAGCATAGTTCTAGAAATTCTTTGTTTAAAACATTTTACGTACTACTGTTGTGCTGCCCTGCTGTTAAACAAAACCATTTGCGACAGGTTCCAAATCAGTTAACGAAATTAGAGATCCATTAAAAATAAACAGCAGAAGCAACAAGGCAAATAGTGGGGAAGGGGGCGGGGTTTGCCCTTCATCATCATCATCTGTTAAGTCAATTCGGGCTTATGGCAACCCTTTTCAGGGTTTTCCGCCCTTCATCATCATTATCTGTTAAGTCAATTCGGACTTATGGCAACCCTTTTCAGGGTTTTCCAAGTAGCAGAAGGTATTTTGAAGCGGTTTACCATTCCCTCCTTCTGAGGGGAGCCCTGGGGCTGTGAGGTTACCCAAGGCCACCGCAGGCTGGCTTACTGAGCTATCCAGCCAGCCCCTCATAAAATAAGATTTTTTTTTCCTTCCCCGTTTCTTCCTTTCCTCATTTCTCTTCCCTAGCCTTATATCCCGTGAGATACAGGGAGCAGAAGAAATGGTTCCCAAAAGCCGAGTTCTGCAGGTGGGTGCTGGAGGGTCCTTCGCCCAAACCCACCACTTTTTGCCACGTGCCCAGAAGAGTTTATGCCGCCTTTAAATTCTCCGCCACCCAAAACGGATCCCTCCCCATTTCCACTCACAGGTACATAGTTCCGTCCCCCACAAATACTGTCAGGCGCTCATTCCCCTCAGCCACCTGCCTGCCCCGAGGAGCCGGGACGCACGCGCGCCCAGCCCCGGGCTT